AAAATCATATTGAAGAGCTAGAACTTTCATTGTCAAATGAAGAACTCAATTTGGACAATGAAGAAAATAAAGAAAATATAGAAGAAGTAAGATATCAGGTCAGATCAGTGCGGTGTGCAGCTCATACACTGCAATTAGCAGTATCGAACACACTAAGAGATAGTACAATTTCGGCAATTATATCCGAAGCGAGAAACGTCTGCAAAAAATTACAGTTGCCGGTTGTTAAAAGCTTACTGAAAGCAATGAAGAAAAAAAAACCGATTCTGGATTGTCCAACGCGGTGGCACTCAACGCTAGATATGCTCAAGCGTCTTTTAAGGTGCGTACTGACTTGAGCATTTTTACGCGCACGAACGGTTTGCGCGCACAAATGTTCGCGTCTGGACGTGTCGATTTTGTTTTGACGCACACTCTGAGCACGCACGAACGCGATCCGTCGCTTGTCGGTATATCAAATGATTTTTGTGCGAATCGATGCTTAGTCTGGACGTGTTTATGGAACGGAAAAGTCGTGCGCAAAAAATGGAATGGTCAAATGAAAGAGCTCTACAATTAATAGATGAATATGAGAAGTTACCAGTGTTGTGGGATGCTAAACATTCATTCTATTTCAATCGCAATAAAAAATTAGATGCTTGGGAAATAATTGCGAATAATATAAAAATAGACGTAGGTACAGTGAAACAAAAACTTGGTAGTTTACTAGGATCCTTTCGCAGAAAAAAAGCGAAAGGTAAAAAAAGTATTGGAACAGGAAAAGGTATTCATATACATTTATGTATATTTTTGTTATTTCTAAATAATTTTTATACATGTATTGTAAATTGTAAATTATAAATTATTTTTTCCAGCTCGTAAAGATATATATTTTTCGAAATGGTTTGCTTTTGAAAGAATGCATTTTTTATTGGATAAAGATGAACCCTGCAAAACAATAGATACAGATAAAGTACGTATTTAAGTAATTAAATAAAATTAAGCATAGTCGTCTTGCCAATCTAAACGCCCATTTGTAACAAATTATTCTTTAAATTCATCTCGAATTTCTTTGGCGTTTAATGTCGATCTTCGTGGTACGTTTTTAATTGGAATCAACGAATTTATTTGTTCGTTTTGTTGCCTCCAGCTACCTTCTACTAATACACCATTCTGTTCTGAATTGAATCTCGTTGAAGGGGTATATATATCTCGTGATGTTTTGCTTTCTTAAAAAATTATGGAGACAAATTATCGTCATTACGATAAGCTTTGCTTTTTCCGGTTCCAATAATATTGGTTTTCGTAATACTCGGAACACTGCTGAACAAATTCCAAATACATTTTTAATTACCCTGCGTGCTCTGCTGAGTCGATAGTTAAATATTCTTTCAACCGATTGTTTATGATGTGTTCCTAAGAACGGCTTCATTAAATTTTCGGTCAAAGCAAATGCTGCATCCCCGAGAAATACATATGGTATTTTCTTGGTTCTTCCTTGCAAATTTGATTCTTCCGGTAAGCTTAAACTATTTGTTGTAAGTTTTTTCCATAATTTGCAATTTTTCAAAACTCCTCCATCAGAAATTCTACCTTGACATCCCACGTCCGCGAATATAAAATTGTAATCAGCATCAACAACAGCAAATAATACAATACTGAAATATGATTTATAATTAAAAAATTNGTTTATGATGTGTTCCTAAGAACGGCTTCATTAAATTTTCGGTCAAAGCAAATGCTGCATCCCCGAGAAATACATATGGTATTTTCTTGGTTCTTCCTTGCAAATTTGATTCTTCCGGTAAGCTTAAACTATTTGTTGTAAGTTTTTTCCATAATTTGCAATTTTTCAAAACTCCTCCATCAGAAATTCTACCTTGACATCCCACGTCCGCGAATATAAAATTGTAATCAGCATCAACAACAGCAAATAATACAATACTGAAATATGATTTATAATTAAAAAATTCGCTTGCACTGTTCATTGGAGCTTGCAATACCACATGTTTTCCATCCATTGCTCCTATACAATGCGGAAAATTCCACTTGTTTTCGAATTCCCGTGAAATTGTTAACCATTCTTCTTGGGTTGATGGCATCTGAATAAAATATAATTATTTAGAATTAAAAAAAATATTATTACTATTATTTAAAACTCAAATAATATATTGTAGGCATATTGCCGATTATTAAATTATTATTCCAAATTCGACTATTCGACAACTTGTTTACTTCGCGTGAATTCTGTTGATCTTTATATGTATACGTGTGAGTACAGCATATACAAGACGTTTTGTTAGAACGTACAAAAAGCGTGTTAGGATCTGATTGGGNCACTTGGCCAGTCAGGTCCACCTCATCAAAGATAAGAATTGTTAGGAAAAAGCCTACAATACAAAAATTTTTGAATNTTTTTAGGAGAATAACGAANAACAAGAAAATGACGCGTTTCTANCAAATTTAAATTCTCAANAAGATCTATCNAATTTAGGCGATCAAGAAATAGATGATGACCCCTCAAATGATTCAACAATAGAAAAAATCCCGTTCACTACTCCAGAACCAAAACTAAAGGAAAGAAAACTAAATGATAAGAAGGATGACGCAAAATTAGAAGAAGCATTCAAAATTCTTAAAGAATCGGCTACAAGGAAAGAAATACCACCTGATGACTGTACCATATATTCGCAACATGTAGCCAATAAACTTAGGAGCTATAGCAAGAATACTCGGATACAAGTTGAACATGCTATAAACAATATTTTTTTCGTAGCTGATATGGGAAAATACGATAACTCTAATCCTACTTCTTTTAATTATGAAAATATTTCAGTTTCAAATTATTGTTCTACATATTCTTATGATAATCAACATCCAGTTATAACATCCAGTCTACTACCGTCTCCAACATTTTCTGCAAGTACTTCAAGTTCAATTTCCAATTACCCTACACCTATACCGGATCTTAATATGCAAAATAATAACTTTGAACAATTGTGATTTTAAAAAATTATTTTTTCCTTATTACTTTGTACTTACTTTTAATTACATAACAATTTAACGTGTCTTAATTCTAAAATTATTATTAAAATATGTATTAATTTTTAAAAATTAAATAAATGTCACCATTCTTACCTTTATGTTTTCTTTCAAGACTTCAATAAGCGCTCCATAAACTTCAGGAACAATTACAGATATCAACTGTTTTGACACTTTAAACAGATATTGTAGACTTGTATACGAATCTCCCGTTGCCAAAAAACATAGAGTTATAGCTAATCTTTTGGTAACGGTAACAGCTTTTCGCAATGCAGTATCCATTTTCTGTATTTTTGGAGCGATAGTATTCATTAAAAATTCAAAATCTTTAGATGACATTCGAAGAAAATTATAAAATTGTCCGCTCTTTTGAAATTTTAAATCGGCTAGCAGGTTGTGAGCACCACTTATTTTTNTGCTATTATATAGCTTTGTAACCCACCATCGCTTAGACTGTTTTTTCACACTACGTTTGCGCAAAATATGTATTATAACATATACAGCAGCTGCTATGGTGATGTCTCTTGACGACATTTCGTTACTTACTGCGACGAACGACTGGAGCACAGTTTTGCGCGCACGAACAAATATCGTTCACATCGATAAAAGTTTCCACGCACAAGCATTTGTGCGCGCAAATCGTTCGTGCGCGTAAAATTGCTCAAGTCAGTACGCACCTTTAGAATTAAAAGAATGTTGTGATGGTAACGATAAGGATCAATATTTATCTCCTGAAAAATGGGCCGAAATTAAAAACATTGTGCGTTCTTTAACGCCACCTCGTATTGCAACTAAGAAGTTGCAAGAAGAACAACTTCTTATCGGAGATTTTTATCGCACGTGGTCATAATGTATGCTAGAAACTACGAAATTAAAAACAATATTAGGAAACAAATTAATTGGACATATAAAAATACGAGAAAAACGTCTGTTTAAAAGTGATTGTTTTTTGGCAGGTATGTATATTTCTCGATGTGCGATGTAAACTCATCAAGTGTATGAGAGTTTGAGACAAAAATTTTTAATATTGATGTTTTTCTAACAGCTATGTTTCTGGATGCAAGGTTCAATATAATATTAAACAAAGAACAGAATGCACAAGCCAAAAATCATTTAACACGTACGTGGCAGTACAAAGAAAAAATGATAGAAGAACATGAAAAAGGATTATTGCATAACAGACGTGCATCAACTTCCTCCAATATAAATGAGGATGAAACTGAAATAGATGACGTTGAAAAGATGTTGAGGGAATTAGAGAAGAAAAGACGCTGTCAAGACAATTCCATGCCTTCAATAAATATTTTGAATATGTTACAAAGTTTTTCAAATTATCCTCGTTTAAATTCTAAACAAAATATTTTGGAATTTTGGCAGAAACAAAAAAGTAATATATCTGCAGTATATTCTTTGTCTAAAATAGTTTTAGCAGTCCCACCTACACAGGTTAGTGTTGAGAGACTGTTCTCATCATTGAAATATATATTATCATGCTTACGTTATAATCTATCCGATAATATTCTTGACGATATTCTAATTCTCAGAACTAATAAAAATAGAAATTTTTAACAAATTTGGATATTGATAAATATGTCTATGTGTATTTTGTTACTCTTCTTAATTATATTAATTATTGTTACTGTTCTTAATTATATAAAAAAAACAAAATAATCTAAATAATATTAAATTTCTGTGCGGCAGTTTTTTATAAACATTGTATTATTAAAAAGTGTTATTATCAACATAATGACAACACTTATAGTTTTAAGATATTACTTTTAAAAAATCCCGAAAAAATTATTGGTAAATATAGGTAAATATGGGTAAATATACCGGTATTATCGTATACCGGTATGACGTCATGCCGGTGATTCTGCATTTCGGTTTGCATAAGAGTCTTTATAGTATTTCCCAAAAATACTAAGTTGTTCAATACGTTTTGCGGTTCGATAAGAGAGAGCGCTGCTACTAACCTAATTTTTTTTTCATTATATTGCTGCACTCTTCCTATAAACATATGTAAAGTTTCAATTCAATCTGTCAAATCATAATTTGTTCACAAGCCATTTAGTGTTGACGTGTCGCAGCTATTTTTACAATGGAAAAAATCAAGTATCGTGCAGTGATTGAATTTTTATTTTTGGAAGGATTAANTTATTCGCGGATCTTTGTTAATTAAAATCTCAGTAACTATTGCGAATCTAGCAAAATGGTATAGGACTTTTCACCTCAGTTTTATTCCTTCTACCTGCCTACGAGAGATGTTAAACCAATTCTGGGACACCCTGTATATGTGTGATCACGTGTAAATCTTACACATGAGTTTTTGAATTGAGATTTCAATTCTAAAATTCATATAGCATGCTATATTTGCATTACATACAGGGTGAGACAAAAGTCTGAAAACACTCTCATAACTTTTTGAACAAATCTAGATAGAAAGTTGAATTTTGGAGTAGTTGTATAGGATCATGAAAGCTATTTTTTGTGCACGATGACATCCACCTCCCACCTCTTTGGGTTACGAGCGGGGGTGACTTAAAAATCTTAAATGGCACAAAATTTTATGACTCATTGTTTGGTCAAACACTCAATAACTTTTGAGATAATTAATAAAACTATACAGTCACGTGCCAAGATTAGAACCGAGTTTGGGCCTAAATCTAACAAGATGGAAGAGTAGAGATTCTTACATATATCTTAAGAGGATGCTGAACCAGCGGCTTAACAGCTGCTTTGCTGCTACACTGTCCAGTAGGTGGTGCCCTTTATACAAGGATAGACGTATATCTCTTTTCTTGTCTCTCGTTCGGTTCGCCGGTCTGATAGTAGAGGGAATATGCACACATATGCGACTGTTTGCTTGTGTGCGTATTCGTCCTACTATCGTATGTGCTTCATTAAAAGATCTAAGAACTCTCGTAACTAGACAATAAAATCACATTGTGAAAGTTCATTCTTTTCTTTCCGCTTCTCGGTCCAGTGCCTGCATATTTATACATAAAATGCCTAGAGATTGTTTAAAAATAGAAAAATACGATCAAGTGATAGTAAGAAAGTGTAAATTTTGGTTCTTTTCAGTGGTCAAAGTGTTACTCCGAGATGTGTTTTTTAGGTCCTATGTTCTTTATTTTTGTAAAAGCCTTTTTGATTTAATACAGTACATAATGAAATTAGTTAGACCTACTAAAATGACGTATTTGTTCCGTCGATAAAACAGGACGGTTCAGCATCTTCTTAAATATAGTTTTAATTTAAAAAAGTTTAAATTTTATAAAAAAACTTAAAATATTTTACCTGTGTGAACACTTCATGTAGTTCTTTTATTATTGCACATTTTTCAAGTGTATCGACGCCACTAGTTATACGTTCTATCACAACTCTTCCTTTCTTTTCTTCTTTCATAGATCAGGACATAATATTTATATTAAGTCAGTTTTTCGGTTTAATTATATATAAAGTAGGCTTCCTCACCGATTTTAATAAGCTTGAAATATGTTGGTAAGGACGTTATTCTGAACAACTTTTCCCTATACATGTTACCGTCGCTCGGCTCTAGTTCTCGAATTATACACAAAAAAAATTTCATAAACGAATTCTTGTTTTTCTACACCGTGTCGATTTATGAAGTAAATATTTTAGTTGTATCACACAGTATTATACACGTGTAGACGGGGAGGTGCTGCAAGGGGTGGAGCGGAGCTTCTCTTTTGATTACAGTATATAATCTTTTAAACAAGAATTCAGCAATATAATGTTGTAAGCGTGTAGGCAGGTTAAGAGGCTTCGCCCTCCTTCTGCCTACACGTGTCATACAAACAACATATTTACTTCAGAAATCGACACGGTGTTGGAAAACAAAGAATTCTTTTGTGTATAACTTGAAAACTAAAGCCGAGCAGTAGTAACATGTATAGGGAAAAGTTGTTCGGAATAACATCCTTAACAAAATATTTCAAGCTCATTGAAATCGGTGAGGAAGTCCATTTTATATAATTACCAGTTTTTCTTGTATATATTCTTGTATTATTATACATATTTTTATACTATTGTTCTTTCAGAAGAGGAATGTTATCACTGTATGGCCACTTTAGTAGCAGCCAAAGAAAAAATGTTTATTACTCAAACCAAACTCCTCTATGAAGTTACGTGGAAAACAGTAGAACAAATTACTAAGAAACATGTTGTACGTAACACTTATAAATTTTAAAATTTAAACACAAATATTTATATTTAATATTACTGGTGAAAAACTTCTCAGAAGATTTTTAGTTCATTTCTCAGAATTTTTAAATAAAACATCTTTATGCTTCCTATATACATTTCAAACAGTTTTGACACAAAATAGAATAATTCTAAGAAATTTTTAGAAGAAATATGAAAAGCATCTGTGCATAAGTTTTCAACAGTTTTTCTATATATAACTAAAATACTGACAATAATATATTAATAAGATTTTCTCTGTTTTACAATTTTGGAAAAAATGTATATATTTTATTTCAGAACTCTTTTCACATTTAAAATAGAAAAAACTACAAGTTTTGTAAAAAATTTCTGAGAATGTTTTACGCCAAACAATATATTTGTGTGTGCGTGTGCGTGTGTGCGTGCGTGCGTGCGTGTATGTATGTGTGGGGACACAATAAAAATTTGTTTATACTTGAAGCAAAATTATTTTATTTATACATATATTTTAAAAGAATTTAAATTACATATTTTTTAAGATACTTAAGATATATTTTAAAATTATAGACTTAGATACTTCATCCACATGTCTCTAAAAGATAACTGGACGCTAATAAGCAATACAGTGTCAATCCACATCGCTAGTTTGAGTAAATTACGCTTTAAGATTAAAAAATAAGATGTTTGTATATATTTTTTTAAAGATGTTTGTGAATGTTTGATATATAGAAACCAGGGTTGGGACAGTTACTTCTAAAAAGTAACGCGTTACCGTTACGCGTTATCCATTGAAAAAAGTAACTCGTTACCGTTACTCGTTATCGATTGTAAAAAGTGACGCGTTACCGTTCCTTAGAAGTAACGAGTATAGAATCGTTACTTTTCGTTACTAAAACATGATTACATAAAAGATCATTCGATTTTTTTATATTGTACAATTAGAAAGAACACCAGAGAAAAAGAAACTTTATTAATAAATTTAAACTTGTATAAAGCATATTTATAGTTCTATAATTTTAAAGATACATAAAGATATATATTTTTAACATTAAAATATATTAAAAATTTTAGATACATTTAAGAATTTTATTTTATCATAAATGTAAACTTAACAATAAAATTTAACAATAAAAACAATTAAGTATGACATATGTGATATAAATAATCTTAGTACGTATTAATAATACAGAAGAGAGAGTAGGCACAAATGTTAAATACAAATAATTTCAAAGTAGATTTTAGATAATTTATATAAGTGTAATATATATAACACACATTTAGGATAAAAATGGCTACTTTCGGAGTTTTAATTGAAATGGACAGATGTTTTTCTTTNCTCAGAATAAGATATATGTCCTGTAAATGAATAATTTAAAGTTAGATAAGATTTTTTTTTAGAGACACCCTTTTAAATATATTTTATCACGATAAATTTCTTAAAGATTTATCTTTCTTGAAAGATATATTTTTAAAAATACAGTTTGTTTATTTTTAGTAAAAGTTGATGTTCCATCGTATCATCATATAAACGACTCTTTTGTGGTGTTAGTACTAATCCTCCGATGCTGAATAATCGTTCAACGGCTGCACTACTGGGAAGTGCAGTATTATATTCGATAAAGAGTTGTTTAAGTTTTGGATGATCTTGTAACGCTTCAACAATTAAATTTTTGAATTAAAAAAATTTTTGCAACTCTTTTTGTGTAGATTCATCTCGTGTTGTTTGTTGACGGAAAACAAAAAAGACATCGTTTTCATCGGAATTTAGATCACTCTTTGGAGAATTTTCGTTTGATTGAATCCCTAACACGTTTTCTAAATAGCTTTCTCTGCAAGTTTCCGTTTTTCTCCTATTCTCCAATTCAATTTGAAGTTTGGATGTAAGCAACTATTAATTCCTTTTTCTCAAACGTAACGTCAAATCTAAAGTTAAATATCAAATCAATAAAATAAATCACAACATTACTTTTTAATTATCAAACTGTATGAACAAAATGTATTAAATACTAATTGAATAAACTCGTGAGATGATGAACCGACAAATTTCGGTAGATGCGAGCAAAACCACAAAATGTTCGTGTATGTGCTTTTTATTAAATTCCAAGAAAAATTACAGACGAAAAATTTCGATCTCTTTGTTTGAATCTTTATCAATGTACAACAGAAATAATTAAATTATTAATGCTTCACATTGTAAGTGCGCAATGATCTTACTACAATAATTTTTAATTTTAATTAGTTTTGTTTTGTACACTGATGAAGATTTATAAACAAGGAATCAAACAGTCTGTAATTTTTCTTGGAATTCAATGTTATCTGCGATTAGCGTCTGTTTTATGGGCATCTGTAGACAGGACGTGTTACGCGAGGCTAGAACCGACTTGATAGCCAATCAATATGCTACTTTTCTACAAAAGCATAATGTTGACTGGCATTGCGCACAACGCATTGAAGCGTTTTTCTGCAGACGCCGTTATGTAAGAAAAATATTATAAATTTGAAAGTAACGATAAAGTAACGCCTCATTTTGTTACTCGTTATCGAAGAAATGTAACGTCGTTACTGCTTTCGTTACACATAAAAAAAAGTAACGTCGTTACGGGGTCGTTACCAAAAAAAAGTAACTGTAACGGTAACGTCGTTACAAGTAACGCGTTACTACCCAACCCTGATAGAAACATCTAAATTTTTAAAAACACTATTGAAAACCATTCTTTGATAGCTAAAGAAGCACACTATATAAATATTTCAGTTTTTGTGGGTTGACACTGTATTGCTTATTAGCATCCAACTAAAAGACGACTTAAAAATATTTTATTGTCTTTTAGATATCTTTAAGATCTTTTTGGCTTTTTTTGAGTATAGATATATAATATATACAGGGTGATTCGGAACAACCCGTTATCCTTAAAAATACATATTTTTGATTAAATTCTAGGACAACTTTTTATTTGACAAAATTTTGTCTGAAGCTTACTTTGTAAGTTATTAATAAAAATAGGCGACTTACCACGAGTCGGATACAAGAGGTAGGCAGAGGCGGCGCACCTCACCGTGATTGACAGTGATTTATGTGATGCACGGATTAAATGATACAAATTACTAACAAATAAATAAATAAATGAGAGAGAGAGAGAGAAAGAGAGAGAGAGAGACAGACAGACAGAAACAGTGTATAGCGATCAGCTGATTGCGTCAGGCATCACGCGTAATCGCCCGCGTCTGACGGTAAGTTGCGCTAACCTTGCCTACCTCTTATATTCAACTCGTGGTAAGTCAACTATTTTTATTATCTATTTTTAATACCTTACAAAGTAAGCTTCAGACAAAATTTTGCAAAATAAAAAGTTGTCTTAGAATTTAGTCAAGAATATGTATTTTCAAAGATAACGGGTTGTTCTGAATCACTCTGTATATGTATATAACATATATATGTATGTACACACACACACACACACACACACACGCACGCACGCACGCACGCACGCACGCACGCACATATATATATATATATGTAATTTTGTTTAATTTATCATTTTTTAAAGAAATCAGCTGCTGTTCATTTAACGAGGCATTGTTCCGGCTCGAGAGCAGAAAGAATCTACATGGACTGGATCTGGTGGATTCTGCAACTTCTTCCATTTCAACATCTAGTCAGGATTATGGACTGTTTTCTTCACGAAGGCATTAAGGTAAATATATAACTATGTCTCTATAAAAATAACTAAGTTTTAATTACTTTCTTTTTATAATTGTTACGTTCTGACTCATGCTCAAACTGTGAGAGTGCTGGAACGATAACAAACGATTTTAAGTCTAATACGAAGGACAAAAGTCAGTTATGCGAGTGAGACATTTGGGTTTTTTACTGACTTTGGCTAATATTACTTTCTGATAGTTAAACTTCTGCTCGTTGATTTTTTTTTAAAATGGGAAGAGAGATGGAAAATAAGATAAATGTTCAGAAAAACGGATTCAGCTCCGATGACGTTGACCTTGACATATGTTGTCAAGGACATGTCTCTGAGTAATAATCGAAAAGTTTTAACCGTTGCTCGTTGTTTGTCAAAAAGTTATAAACAAAAAAAGTTTCATAAATAAATTCTTATTTTCTGACATTATGTACATTTTGTTTGTGTTGTAAGCGTGTAGACAAGGGGAGGCTACGCCCCTTTGCAGGGGGAATGACTCTTTTTCCTGCACCTCCTTCGAGAAAAAATAGGGAACGACTTCTGATTAAGTGTCGCTAAAACCCACGTACATATCAACATAAAACGACATGTAATCAGAAGTCGTTCCATATTTTTCCTCGAGCGAGGGCAGGGGGAGCCACTCCCCTTGCAGAGGGGCGTAGTCCCTCCTGCCTACACGCTTACAACACGAACATAGTAGGTAAATGTTTCTTTTGAATGTTTACATTAAGTATCACCTTCACTGTTTAGTTCTTGTCATACCTATGAATTCTCACGCGTTCTTGTTTAGTTCATCAAAGTTCTTTCTAAAGTTTATATATAAATAATTGAACGTACTGGTAATATTTTTTTTGTAAATCCTTTATGTATAAAAATATGCATATTTAAGTGTATTTAGACAGTATAAGTAAACAGTATACGTAAACTCGATACAACTTTTTAAGATTATAACTTTTTATAATGAAGAGTGAGCGATGGTTGAAACCTTTTTATTGTTACTTAAGAGCATATTCTTGACAACATATATCAAGGTCAAAGTCATTGGGGCTGGGTCTGTTTTTCTGAACATTTACCAAAAATAATGTTTTAATTTAGGTTTATACATAAGATTATTATTTATTGATGTTTATTGTAAATTAAAATTAGGATGTAATATCATAAACTTACTTTTTTAAACAAATGTAAAAAAAGGCGCCAAGTACACGCGCCCAAATACTATATCTCCTCTTTATTTTATTATTTTGTTTTTATTTTTTTCAAATTCAAAATCCAACCACAACCAAAAAGTAGTGTATTAAAAACAGTATTATTGTGCATTATCATAATTATAACGCATATTTTTAAAAAATTGCTTTTTACAAAATCTGTTCTACAAAAGAAGTGACATATAATACAATAATAGCGCCAAATGAGAAATCATACATTAGTTATCATACAGAATAGTAATAATAATGAGAAATAATACACAATAATAATAAAGCACTCATTGGTGTAAGCTGAACTTCGCTTTGCATAACAAATCGCAAACTTATATAGAAACTTATGTAAAACTGTACTTTTATAGACTTAGCTTCTGAAATATTGATGATGTAAAATGAACTTTTTTCGCGTGAAAAGTCGAAAATTCATATGCAAATGTTTCCAAAATAAAAAATATTTAATGCAAAAAAACTTGACGCGGTTGCACCAAAAACTATAATGATCTAAAGTTATTTAAAGGTTTTTTATACGTACGTCAATCCAATCTAATAGCTACTCAGTAGCTTTTGTCGTAAACGTAAAATGTTTTCTTTAAACCATCAATTTTACAATACCAAGCATGTATTTCTTGAAGAAGAAACTAACATTGTTTCTCTAAACAAAAAAAGTTTTAATAATGACAATCAAATGTAGCAAAAGTACATTTTTAATTATATTCAACTAAAAATGTTTACAATGTTTGTGTCAGTTTGATACTTAATAGCTGTTTTATTAAAAAGAACAAGGTTTTCTTTATATCATTAAATTTATACTACAAAGTATATACTTGTTCCGAAAGTATAATAAATCAACAATACGTTAGTGACAAAACTCATATAACATTGATACACGAAAGTTTCGAAATTTATTTAAATAAAAAATGTTAATAGTTTGTGCGTGCGTGTAGTGTGCGTATGTTAGTTTTCGGTGCAGCCGCGCCAAGTTTTTTTGCATTAAATATTTTTTATTAAAAATCCTTTTTCCTTTTGTTACACTTTTGTGTTCTAGTAAATGTTTTTGTAAATAATTACGAAAAATACAGTTTTGATGGGTTACTTGTTTTCACTAACAAATTGTTTTGTTATCTATAACACCGAGTACTTCGGATATAAAACGTGATCTTTAAAATCTACATAAATTTCTGATTTTTTACACAAATATCTTATAATTATATATAAAGCGTTCCATTGACGTAACTACTTTATTATTATTATAATATATATCACGTTTTTTGTAGAATACATTTTGTAGATAAATTTGTAGTATATTATAATTATAAAACAAACAAAAGTTTACTTAAGTGTTACTTTTTGATATCACTTTTCTCGTAAAACAGATTTAAAAAAAAAAATAATTGTTTGTAGTTTACAATACAGAGAAAAAGAATTTTTTGTAGCATTANATCAAGTTTTAATTTATTATTTAAATTCAATACGTGTTGTGCATGTACTTAGCGTCTGTTCTTACCTTTTTTTTAAAAAGGTAAGTTTTTCGAGATATCATACATTTTGTATTTTGTAATATTATTGAAAAATTGTTTTCGCCGGCAACACATTCGATAGTATCGATCACTTCGACAATGTTTTTCGCGGCTAGTGATTCCGCGCCGGCAATATCTCCGATATAACTTTATTTAATAAACTCGTTTAAAACTTGGCACGAAATAACTACAGACTATAAATTTTCAATTTATGATAAATGTATGATAAAAAATTAATTCAGAAAACGAATAAAAAATTTTTTTTTGCTCCGGCAACATTTCTAATATAAACCTTTTTTACGAAATTGGTTTGCAACGTGGAACGAAATAACTACAAACTGTATACTTTACATTTATGAAGTAGAAAAGAAATTGCAAAAACGGATTAAGGACGTTGTAGCGCGACAGTCCGATGCAAAAGTTCTATTTTTTTTTTTTTTTTTTTTTATGAGGTATTTTTAACGTGCCCGTTAACCGAGTTATCGATTTTTGCGAGCACTCTCTTGTCCTTTCCTAACCTCTGGTTACTTTTGCACTTTTTTACATTATCCTGTTCACTGTTCTTAAGAATTTATATGCTGCACTCAGCGCCTTCCACTCTTTTTCTCTCAACCACCTCCATATGTCGAATGGGTAGCTTGATCCTAGTCTATCGAATGTTTCTCTGAACTCTATTCTTTGTTCGTCGTATCTTACGCACCTAAAAAGTAGGTGGTTTATAGTTTCCACCTCCGCTCCACATTGACACCTTGGTGTGTCTATATAATTTTTCCGTGCTAGAGATTCCCCTACATTAAAGTGGTTTGCTCTAAGTCTAGTTATAAACGTTGTTAGTTCTCTCATGTCGTTCCTATTGGCGAACCATGGATGGCTTTCTCTCTTGATGAAAAATTCTCTGAAATATTTTTGTCCCTTTATTTCAGCCTTCTTTATAATTTCCTTTTCCGTGTCCTGACTCAGCTTTTTCACTATTTCTTCCTTAATGTCACTTCCTGGTACTTTATATCTTTTCCTATTTGTTGTGCTTCCTTCTGTCGCCTCTTTTGCCAGTCTATCGGCCTCTTCGTTTTCTTTCACCCCCACGTGTGCTGGTGTCCACACCATTAGTATCTCTATTCCTAACTTACTTAGCTTATCTATCTTATGTCTAATTTGCACTACATAAGGGTTTTTATGCACCGATATATCACAGTTTGTTACTGCCTTTATCACACTTTCTGAGTCGCTGCAGATGAACACTTGCATTTTTTCCCCCTAGTATTTTGTTATATTTATCTCTTCTACATTTACCAATGCTTCCAGCATCGCTATTGCTTCTAGTAAATTGTCAGTTCTTTTGGTGTTGTAAAGCTAGTATTGCACTCTTCCTCTGGCCATATCACCGCTGCTCCTGTGTACTGACCTTCTTTCTTCTTTGATCCATCGGTATAAACAAACGTTTGGTACCATACTTCTCGTTTGTATTTATTTCTTATCCTTGTTTTCATTTCTCCATCTGATATTTTTTTTAACTTTCTCCAGGTTCCTATTTCCATTTCCTTTTGTACTTTGAAATTCCATGTTTCATAGTCGGTTTTAAAAATCTCGTACCCCCATATGTCTTCTGTGTACTTTTTAAGCTTTTCCCATGCTTTGTATAGGACACTGCCTTCTTTGTTTGGGTTTCTCATTAATTCTTGTCTTTCTCTTCTGCTTAGTCTGTCTATTGTTCTTTTAGTTTCTACTCTTTCTACTACCATCTTTTTAACTAGAAAGTTGACTGCTAACAGTTCTGCTCTGTGTTTCATCAACATCACCTTACTTTCTCCAATCATCACATTTGTCGGGGTGCTGTTTCTGTACCCCATTGCTGTTCTTATTCCAGCGTACTGCGCTTGTTCAATTTTATAGGCTGTCTTTTTCACTCTAGGGTAGTATATACATACTGCATAGTCCATAACCGATCTTACCAGGCTCTTGTACATTATTATGGCCGTGTTTACTTCCATTCCTGTGCTGACTTTGTTGCACATTTTAAGTACTCTGTTTGCCATAAGAACCCTTTTCTTGACTCTGTTAGCTTGTCCTTTCATATTTCCTTTCTCATCCATTAATATTCCTAGGAAAGTTGCTTCTTTCTGGCTTTCAATTATTGTGTCTTTTATTTTTAATTGTATTCTTTTTCTTCTTCCTTCAGGTTTTCTAAATTCTATTAGTGCTGTCTTTTCTGGCTGTAGGTCCAGTCCTAACTGTCTCAGTTTATTCATTACCGTTTCCACGCTTTTTCCTATCTTTTCCTTTG